CTGAGGAAGTGGAGAACTATTCTGGAATATCATTGTTTTGGAGCCAGACTGTTCATAGCTTTAATTAATCATAGGCCACCTTAAATGGTAACACTCCCTTAAGACTCCTAAGGCTTCTTGGATCCCTTCCTGGTGTTGTTCAGCAAAAGGAGTGTCTTGTTTTCCTTCTTTGTTAAGTAGCTACTCTGCCAAGTGAAGCAGGAAAACATTAGCTGCCTTCGCCAGTGCTTGCCTGCTCTTCTGCCATTTTTTTTTTAAACCTCCTCCCTGGATTGTCCCTTTGGAGAATGAACCTGAGGGTGAGAGAGTCAGAAAAAACCTTTAATGCTTTTTGGAACAACTAAATATCTTCCAAAAGCAAGCTGGGCTCAGAACCAACTCGGGTCCAGCTGCTGGGGAGGGAGCTGGGCTACGGCTCAGATCATCATTAGAGACTTTGGCTGCCTGGAAGGTGTTTGTTGGAGTGTTGCAGCCTGCTGCCTGTTCCTTACCCAGGATGCTCCATCTCCCCTCTCCAGGACTTTGCACTGCCTGGCCCCAAGGCCTGGAATGTTCTCCTTCCTGGACGTTCTTTAAGACTCAGCTCAGATCGCAGGTTCTGTAGGATCCTTTTCTCTTTTTTCCCTGGGACTGCTGGGGTTTTCTTCCCTTCTCTGATAACCTCCAGCCGACTGCATATGTCTTGTAGGTATCTAATTATTGTCATGTTGGTCTCTCCTTTTAGAACCTAAGCTCCTAAAGGCAAGTACCCTGCTATTGCCCTTTTTTTAATATCCCCCACCCCTTAGCTGTGCCTGGTAGGTGATAAGTGCTTAATCAAGCACCGTTTATTAAGTGATTATTGAATACTCCTCCTTTTGACCTGCAAGCTGCGAAGAGTTGAGACACAAGTACTTGTATCTCAAGGTTCCAAACCTTGCTAGAATCTCTTGTTAACCCATCTATCTTACTTTTTGTCTTTGAGGGTAGCAAGGTATCCAAAATAACTGAGGAAATGGTCACCTAGGCATTTAACTGCCCTAAAAGAGTTCAGGTTACCAAGTCTGGCCTTCTGGAACTATCCCTGGTTCACCTTGTCTACATCTTGTTTCTCTCTTCTCTCTCTCTCTCTCTCTCTCTCCTCTCTCTCTCTCTCTCTCTCTCTCTCTCTTTTTGGTGAGGCATTTGGGGTTAAATGACTTGCTCAGGGTCACACAGCTAGTAAGTGTTAAGTGTCTGAGTCTGGATTTGAACTCAGGTCCTCCTGACTCCAAGGCCAGAGATCTATTCACTGTGCCACCTAGCTGCCCCGCTTTACATCTTGTTTGTATATAGGTGGTGGCACGGCTGTCTTCCCCATTAGAATGTGAGCTCCTTGAGGGGCAGGGACTGTCTTTTGTCTTCCTTTGTATCCCCAGTGCTTAGCACAGTGACTTCAGGTGTATAGTAGGTGCTTAATAAATGCTAGTGAACTGACTGAAGAGATTCCAGGCTAGAATACTGTATGAATAGCAGTGTTCTTGCTAAACAGTAAGATATCCTGGAGAGGGCCCCATCTTTCAGAAAGGCAAGGAGGTGGTGCCCGCAACCTGTACCAGATGAATGGGCTTGATGCTTTTCCTGACTGAGTTCCACAATACATTAAAGGGATGGTTTTTGAGTATTTAAAAAAGAAGGGTATGGTCATTCATTGGAAGCCAGTCATGCCTAATTAACCTAATTTGCCTTTTTTTTTTTTAAACTGGGAATCAATCCTGATAAAACAAGCAAATACTATAGACATAGAATACCCGACCCTGGGCAAATCACTTAACCTCTGCCTCAGTTTCCTCATCTGTAAAATGTGGACGATAATAGCACCTACCTCCCAGGGTTGCTGTGAAGATCAAATGAAACTACGTTTGTAAAGTACTTTGTAAACCTTAAAGGGCTACATATCAGCAGATACTATTCGTATGATGTTGCTTGGAATTAAGCAAAGCATTACACAGAATCCCTCGCGATTGCTTGTGGATAAGACCAAAAGATATGGGTGAGATGATAGTATAGTTAGATTGTGACACAGGAAGGACCCATCAGTGTGAACTTGGAAGAAAGTTTCCAGTGGTACGGCCAAGGGATCGCCCAAGGGATCTATCTGTATGCTCTTAGCTCGGGGCTGTTGAATATTTTTATCATGTTACAGACTCTCACAGGCCAACCGATCTGTACCTTGCCAAGAATCTTTTCCATCAAGTCTGTGAACTAGGGACTCTTATTCCCCCCCCCCCCCCCCCGGCAGCTCATTTTACTTTAAGAGAGCCCTAATTTTCATGAGGTGTTTCCACCTTTTTTTTTTTGTCTTTTGCTTTTTGTAAATTCCACCTGACTGTTCCTAGCTTGGGGGCCTCCAAGCCCAGGCGGGACAACCCTTCTCCACCTACCTACCTGCCTTTCAGCTATGGACTTGAAAGCAGCATTGTGCACTACTCCCGGAGCATTTCCTTCTCCAGGCTAAACATCTCCGGTTCGAGCCTTCCTCATTCCAGCTCCTCATCTTCAGGGTGCTAGGCCCCTCTACTCAGCCAGGATAATGATGGGAACATGAGCCTCATGGTAGGTGGGGCAAGCTCTACCTGCCAGCTCCAACCTGTAGAATCTGTGTCTCTTTAAATTTATTAAAGCTTTAAGGCAGGCTCCTGCTACACCCTCCCCCTCCCCAGTGAAGTGTGGGTTTGGTTTTGTTTTTTAAAATCCTGGCAGTAGCTTGAGGAGCACGACTGTAGACCTAACAGAAGAGCTTTAAAAAAAAAAGTGCCGATTAGCCTCAGGCCCGGTACCTGGCCAGCTGAACAAAACAATAGATAATAGTCTCAGCAGATAGCAGTAGCAGCTAATCGGAGAAGTGAGGCAACAAGCGTTTTTTTAAGGTATTACAAAGCTGTGTGTAGATAACAGATAGAATGCTGGGCCTGGAATCAGGAAGACCTGAGTTCACATCCAGCCTAGACACTTACTAGCTGTGTGACCTTAGGCAAACCACTTTACTTTTGTCTGCCCTGGTTTCCTCAATTGTAAAATGAAGATGATGATAGAGAGAAAGCAATTCTTATCATCCCCCGTTTCACAGATGAGAAAACCAAGGCCTTGAGGCTACAGAAACTGTCTGCCATCTCACCGCCATTACCTGTCTGGAATGGGGATCGAACCCAAGCGTCCTGGCTCTAGGCCTGGGAGTCTATCCACTCACTCTTTATCGCTGGTGCTACAGCTCTGTCCAGCCCTCAGCTTGGAAATGACTGACTCCCTCCGACAGGATCGCACACTGCCTCTCCACATGCTGATGGCCCAGTGAGTGGGGAGGGAGGGATACACAGATCTGAGACGCTCATTGTGGAGGTCTGAGCCACTGGGGTGGGGGTGCGGGTGCGCTAAGAAAGGAATGGGAAGGATTAAAGACGACCTTCCCTGGAGCTCTTGAAATTAAGTGAAGGCGTAGATAGTGATGATGTCATTCAAGGGAGTCTTCTTTTATGTAGTGTATTTTGCTTACCTAAATTTGACTCAATATGTCCTAACAGAGTTAATGTAATACAGTAATGGGAGAGGCAGCATGGTGCAGCAGCCAGATGTGGGCTCGATGCCTCTTCTGGTCCATACTGGTTGTGGGACCCTTAACTTCTCAGTGCCACCCCTCCCCTAACCCACGTGTGGCCTTCTAGGTCCTTGGGGACCTAGGTCTTTTGACTGAGTCCAAGTTTTACAGAACAAATCCTTTTAGTAAGGGGATTTGTTCTGTGAAGTTTGGATTTGGTCAAAGGGTTGAGCTTGAGGACCTAGAGGGCCACGAGGCCTCAGGCTGTCCACTTTTGAGCTAGATAATGTGATCCCATGTTACAGATGAGGAAATGGAGGTGAGGAGGGAAGGCTGTGGCTGGCCTGAAGCTGCACCTTGGCGGGATCCAAGCTTAGGCTCGGGGGTTGGGAGGTGGGAGGTGGGAAGGGGGTGTTCATCCTGTATTCCCTTGCCCTTATCTCTTCCTTTTTGTTCATTAAATCACCTCTCTGGGTCTACTGAGTCAGGCGCATCTGACTTGAGGGAGAGATGATGTAAAAGGAAGTGTGTGCCTCTTTAGGACAAAATTTAATGGAGGAGGAAGATACAAAGAGTTACAATACATAATATTATGAGAAGCATCTGGATGATGCAGTGAATAGAGAGCTGGGTCTGGAGTCAAGGAGACCCGAGTTCACATCCAGCCCCAGACGCTTCCTGGCTGTATGACCCTAGGCAAGTCACAATGCCTGCCTCAGTTTCCTCATCTGTAAAATGGGAATAATAATAACAGCACCTATCTCCCAGGGTTGTTTTTAGGACAAAATGAGTGACTTGTAAAGGATTAATGTAAGAGAGCAAGAGCTAAGGAGACCCATGGTTGATGCATACTAGTGGTTAATGTCTTGGTGCTCTAGAGAAGGTTGCAGAGAAGGTGCTGGCCTGCACTGGTAGAGAAGGCTTTCCTCATCCAGCACTTCCCTATCCCAATGAAGTCACAGCTCTCGTCCCAATTTCCGTCTCTATCTTGTGTGAAAAGCCTAGAGCTCCGGGAAGGCCCGGGGGAAAGATTAAAATTGACTAGAGGATCTAGGGAGGCTAAGTGGAAGAAGTGTTAAATCTCCATCCATTCAATCCAATTTAATTAGGAGCCAAGGCTTAACTCTAGACACTGAGCAAGCACACTAAGACAAAAATGGTCCCTGCCCTGCCTTACCGTGGGGAAACAACACGTACACGGGTGGGTGAATGCGAAGTATACACAGAGGCATGGAAGGGTGGGGGGACGAGGAAGGGTGGTAACCAAGAACGCTGAGCCGCAGCTGAGGCGGAGGAAGAGGGGCTGTGTCCCTGTGCTGCCTCCAGCCACACAAAGCGCTCCGTAAATGCCCTGGGGTCACTGAAATGCCGTAACTGATTACAGGGGCCACGCCGGAATGTAGGAGGGCCCGCCTGCCCCTGACTCAGAGCGGGCCCCTGGAGGCTCGTCTGGCCGTGGCCATCCCCAGTTCTCCGCCGAGCAATCATCCCGGCTCTGGGGGAGAATGGCCGAGTGCACGGAAGCAGTGGGGAACAGGGGAAGCATTTGCACCCCGTTCCTCTGACTGCAAATTCACCGCCTCCCTCCAGCCTGAGGGGGGGAGGGGCTGGGGCTGTCCTTGAAGGGGCTTGAGCTATCTCTGGCCCATTCCTTCCTCGTCTCATCCCGCTGAGGCTCCGAGCGGACCGAGGGTGCGGGTCCGCCCGCCTGTGCGTGCCCCCATACTGGAGAGAGGAGGAGGAGAGGGGGCTGAGAGCTGGGCTCCAGGAAGACGCCCTGCTGGCCAAGGTGATTACAGAGCGGACGCCGGCCCTGGGAGCCGGGGAAGGACACGTGCACGCTGGGCCCTTTCTTTGCGGCGTCCGGAGGAGAGAGCCGGGCACGGGACGCCCTCGCCCCCCCGACCCCGCCGCCGTGGCTCCACAGCGCCCCCCAGCGGCGCTCCTCCTCCTCTCCCCACCCCCGTCCCGTCGCGCGCACGCGGCCCCCGCCCCCATTGGTTGACTCGGCGAGCGCGCGCTCGGCTGCTCCCAGGGCTAGGCCTCGGTCCTGCCCGCACCTCCCGGCTCTGCGGCCGGCGGGGACAGGAGCAGGTGCCTGAGCAGTCCAGCCGGGCAGGGGATGGCCAGGCCACGGGGCTCCGCGGCCGGGCCGGGCCGGGCCCCCGGGCAGCAGCCGCGCGGGGGGAGCCGCAGGTAGAGGACGGGGCTGAGCGTGGGGGGGAGAGGGAGCAGGGAGAGGAGGAGGGAGCCCACGAGGGCGGGGAGGAGGGAGAGGAGGAGGAGGCTGAAAGAAGGGGGGAAGCGCATGAGGAGGCTGAGCGGGGGGGGGGCTAGGGAGGTGCAGGGAGGGGGGCGGAGGCTGAGCGGGGGGTGCAGAGGGGCAAGCAGCCCGCCCCCCCCCGCCTAGGAACACTTTGGGGCACTGGGGCCGGGGGTGTGGGGAGGCTTGTTTCGTTCTTTTACTTAGTTCAGAAAATCGCCGGTCCCGCTTCTGCTCCGCCGGCCTTTCCCCTCCCTTTCCCTTTCATTGCAAAGATGGTTTTGGAAGGGAAATCGAAGGGGACAAAAGGGGTCCCCCGGCGCTGCGGGGCCCCCGGAGCGGGGTGTATGCCGCGTGCGACGGGGCGCGGGGCCGCTTTTTGTCCCTGTCGGCCGGGTCGGGTGCCCCGCGCGTTTGTTGGGTTCGGATGGGCAGCGGGAGGGGCCAGAGAGGGCTGGACCTGGCCGGGACCTCCCCCCCCCCCCGGGGCTTGGAAGTAATCGAGTAATCATCTCCGCCCGAGGCTTGTGTGACACGAGGGGGTGGACTGGACGTTTCTCCGAAAGTCCCTTCCATCTGGGAATCCTGTGGTCACTAACTGAGAACCCTGCGGGGGCGGGGGATGAAGCAGCCGAGAGAGAGGAGGGGGCTTTGGGGGCGGGGAGAGCCTGGGGGGGAGGGGGCTGCGAGTGCCAGGGCCAGTGCCTGAGAAGGCCAGTGGGAGAGCGGTCAGAGGGCCAAAGGCGGGTGGGGGGGGGCGTGTGGAAGTGAAACGAGCTGGGACTCCAGGGAAAGATGCTGTGAGAAGGGGGGGGAACCCAAGAGTGGAAACAGGGAGGGCCCGCGGGCCAGGATGTCAGAGGGCCCGGGGGGGGGGAATGAGTGACTTGGGAGCCTTTTGATTTTTAAAATGGATTTCTTGTAGCGTCATCGGCCTGAGAGGTCACTGAGATATGGGCCAATGGGGCCCAAGAGGTGGATGAGAATAATATGTGAAAACAGCAGGGGAAGATGAAGGCTTCACCTGGGCCCTCCCAGCATCTCCCTTGCCTGTTTCAGATGTGACCTACCTTCCTAGAGAAAGCTGGGGACTAGCTCAGAATCAGTGGCCTTGTAAGTAGGTGAATTCTTATTGGAATCATGCCCTGCAGCAACCCTGCATGCCCCCCCAAAGAGTGAGAATCTTCCCAGGAGACAATGTTCTCCCCTTGGAAATTAAAGAAACTGCCCCAGATACTGGCTTCCCTCTTATGTGTTCTTAGTATCGGCTGTAGTTTGAACAACTGAAATATCTTTGGCCTGAAATGGGGGTTTATTTCTTATAACAAGAATGATATAATATTACCTCATAAATGCTATATAAATGGTAACTATCGTTTTTATTATATTGTTTTAACACTTGTTAGGCACATTACAAATATGTCATTTTATGCTCATAACAACTGTTGGAAGGAGGTGCTATTCTTCCCATTTTACAGATGAGATGACTGAGGCAGAAGGCAGTGAAGTGACATGTTCAGTCACACTTAGTAAGTGACTGAGTCAGGATGTGAATTCAGATCTTGCTGACTCAGGGCAGCTAGGTGGCACAGTGGACAGAATGCCGGGCTGAAGTCAGCAAGGCTCAAATTCAGATTAGGCCTCAGACACTTCCTAGCTGTGTGACCCTGGGCAGGTCACTTCACCCTGCTTGCCTCAGTTTCCTCATCTGTAAAATGAGAAGGAAATGGCAAACTACTCCAGTATCTTTGCCAAGAAAACCTCACACAGGGAATCCCAGAGATGACTGACCAGTGACTTGCCGACTCCAGGCTCAGGTTTCTATCCACTGCATCCCCCAGCTGCCTGATGTCCCTCATCCAGAGCAAACTTAGTCACAGGTTAAAAAAAAACCAACCAACTGAGCTGGAAGGAAGCTGGAAGGAAGCTGGAAGTCATCCAATGTGAGGCCCGGGGAGGTAAAGGGTCATGCAGCCTGCAGTCACACAGCCAGGCTGGTAAGAGGCAGAGCCCAGGTTTGAGCGAGATGCTCCCCATCCAAGTCAGCAATGCCACATGGCTGTCATCCCCACAGATGGACTCCCAGGCCTTGGGGCTTGTTTGGGGTGCGAAGCCCGCAGCTCCTCTTGGGGCACGGCCCTCCTCACATCCTGGCTCATTTCTTTCTCTGTCGGGTCTTTCCCTCCTTGTTCTAGCTTCTCTGTGAGGTCAGAGCGCTCCTTGGGGACAGAGACACAAGCCTTCAGTGGTCATGCCGGCGCCGCGCCTCAGGCACGCCAAGAGTAACGCCAAAATGTCAGGAGGAATGTCCCTTCACAATCTCAGTCCCGAGCACTGGCTCTTCCCAGAATATGTGGGGGTGGGAATGAACAGGTCGCCTGGCATTTGGTTCAAGCACTGCCTTTGCCTCCTGGGAACGTCACCAAGGTGAGCCTGGCCACTTAAGAGCCTGTGCTGGTACCTTGGGCTGGCTGGTCGATGTGAAACTCTGGCTGGACTCCTGGGTATAACGTTCTGGTGCCTTTTAACTCCTGAACACCAGCTCGGATTAGTCAGTTAATCAACATTTATTAAGCACCTGCTGTGTGCCAGGCACTGGGAATACAAAAGGAGGCAAAAGTCAGTCCCTGCCCTCAAGGAACTTACAGTCTAATGGGGGGAGGAGGAAACAACTCCATACAAACAAGCCAAGTACAGGATGAATAGGAGGTAAATGGTGGGGGGAGGCACTGGAGAGGTTAAGAAAAGCTTCCTGAAGAAGGTGAGATTTTAGTTGGGACTTAAAGGGAGCCCAGATTAGGACAGGTTGGGCCTCGGTTTCCCCAAATGCAAAAAGGAGTCATGGATATAATGAATTAAATAAATATCCTTTACTATTTAATTAATTGTATTTTGTCAGCATTCACCAGGTATATCACTAAAGTATCAATCAGTCAACATTAATTAATTTTTGTTTTCAGCATTCACTTTCATAAGCTTTTGTTTTAAATTTTCCCCCTCCTTCCCCTCTCTGCTCTCCAAGATGGCATGCAATCTGATATAGGCTGTACATGAACATTATATTAAACATATTTCCACATTAGTCATGTTGTGAAAGAAGAATCAGAACAAAAGGGGAAAACCACAAGAAAGAAAAACCAAAGGAAAAAGAGAAAATAGTCTGCTTCGATCTGCATTCAGGCTCCCTAGTTCTTTCTCTGGATGTGGACAGCATTTTCCATCATGAGTCTTTTGGAATTGTCTTAGATCTTTGTATTGCTGAGAAGATTTCAGTCTGTCAAAGTTGGGCATCGCACAATGTGGCTCTTACTGTGGACGATGTTGTCTTAGCTCTGCTCACTTCACTCAGCATCAATTCGTGCAAGGCTTTCCAGTTTTTCTGAAGTCGGCCTGCTCATCCTTTCTTATAGCACAGTAGTATTCCATTACATTCATATACCACAACTTGTTCAGCCATTCTCCAATTGATGGGCAGCCCCTTGATTTCCAGTTCTTTGCCCCCACAAAAAGAGCTGCTATGAATATTTTTGTACATGTGTGTCCTTTTCCCATTTTTATGATCTCTTTGGGATACAGCCCTAGAAGTGCTATTGCTGGGTCAAAGGGTATGCACATTTTAATTTTTTTTGTGAGGCAGTTGGGGTTAAGTGACTTGCCCAGAGTCACACAGCTAGTGAGTGTCATGTGTCTGAGGCTGGATTTGAACTCAGGTCCTCCTGAATCCAGGGCTAGTGCTCTATCCATTGTGCCACCTAGCTGCCCCAGGTATACACATTTTTATAGCCCTTTGGGCATAGTTCCAAATTGCTCTCCAGAATGGTTGGATCAGTTCACAACTCCACCAACAATGCATTAGTATTCCAGTTTTCCCACATCTCCAAGATTTATCATTTTCCTGTTTTGTCATGTTAGCCAATCTGATAAGTGAGGTGGTACCTCACAGTTGTTTTAGCTTGCATTTCTCTCATCAGCGGTGATTTAGAGCATTTTTTCATAGGACTATAGATAGCTTTAATCTTCAGTCAACATTTATTAAGCACCTACTGTGTGCTAAGGCCCTGTGCCAAGCTCTAGGAATACAAAAAGGGACAAAAGGCTGGCCCCAAGGAGCTTCCAATCTAATTAGAATAATCATGTCCAGTTTACTCATTCCAGAGTCAGGGACCACGATTCTAGAACTGCGGAGGACCTTAGAATGGAGAACAAAGCGTTTACCTAGTGCCAGGTGTTATACTTGTGCTTTAGAGGCTGCCTAGTTCAAGCAGTTCATTTTGCAGGTGGAGAAACTGAGGCTCAGAGAGGACGCCTTGCCTCTGGTGTAATGGTTTTTAATTTGAATTTGTATCAGCATCTTTTGTTTGGACAATACCTTGATGTTTTGAACATACCCTGCCCCTACCCAGGGAGCCATTCCTTGTAACTCTTTTTGGAAAAGGCAGGTCAGAAAAACCAGCCAATACATCAGCTGAGTTTGGCCAAACATGTGTGTGCAAGACCCATGCCCCAGCCACACCCTAGGTAAATAA